AGCAATGGCGAGCTCTTTTGCTCCCTCTCTTGCTGTTCCGTCCCTTTGCTGGGGCCCCTCGGCATCTGCAACATTTGATGATTCGAAAGTCCCGCAGCGGATGCAGCAGCAGCAGCAGCTGCAGCAGCAGCAGCAGCTGCAGCAGCAGCAGCAGCTGCAGCAGCAGCAGCAGCTGCAGCAGCAGCAGCAGCTGCAGCAGCAGCAGCTGAGGCGAAGGAGCTCGGGAGAACTGCAAAATCGAGGAGAGTGGGTTACGGGCGGAAGAAGCAGCAGCAGCACTTTACCAGAGACTGCAGCAGATGCAGCACCAGCAGCAGCAAAGGCTCCAGGAAGCTCGTGGCCTCCTCCGCAGCAGCTGCAGCAGCCGGAAGAGCTACAGCAGCCGCAGCAGCAGCAGCGAGAAGCAGCAGCAGCAGCGGAGCCAATTGAAGCAGTCGCGTCGCCCTCCTCTTCCTTAGACACAAGCCGCAGGTAGGCCTTATCTAACTTTCTGCTGCTGCTGCTGCTGCTGCATCTGTGGCTGCTGCAAGTACTACTGCTGCTGCTGCATCTGCTGCTGTTGCAAGTGCTGCTGCTGCTGCTGCTAGCTTTTGAAGGCCTCTACTCAGCGCGCATTGTCTGCATGTGCTGCTGCTGCTGCTGCTGCTGCTGTTTACTAGTTGTTCGTCTTACGGCTCTAGTCTTTCCTCCTACCGGTCCCCCTCAGCAGCAGCAGCAGCAGCAGCAGCAGCAGGGCGGAACCGGCGGCCCTCTTTCGTGCCGTGCATTTCAACAGCAAAGGCAGGAGCTGGCTCCTGGATGGGGGGCCACAAAGACCCCTCAGAGTATCCTGTGGGCAACTGACTGCGTGCATGCATGCATGCATGCATGCATGCACGCATGCAAGTATGCATGCATGCATGCGTGCATGCATGCATGCGTGCGTGCATGCGCCCGCCTGGGCGGCGAAGTTTGCGGTTTTCTGCTGCTGTCGCTGCATGCATGCGTTGCTGCATGCATGCGTTGCTGCATATATGCGTTGCTGCATGCATGTGTTGCTGCATGCATGCGTTGCCGCATGCATGCGTTGCTGCATGCATGCGTTGCTGCATGCATGAGCTGCTACTCTGCTGCTGGCTTTGTGCGGGGCATACGAACTTGTTTCTAAAAACTGCATTATATATATTTTAATTATGCTTCAAGATGTGTTATTTGCACATAATGGTCTTTTATTTTATTAATTATTTATTGTTAAAGATTAAATAAAGTAATAAACTGAGCAGCTGTGGCCATTCTCTCTGCAGCGCATGCAGACGGGAAGCAGCAGTTGTTTGACTTTTTACTTTTTACACTTTTTGCTCCTTAAAATTAATAAAAATAGATTTAATAATTTAAATATTTGCATTGTTTCTCTTGTTTTAGGGGATTTCGGTTGCAAAATGAAGTAAAATACTCTTTTGTCTTTGCATGCAGGGCTCGGGTGTATGTACAGCTACGAAATAAGTGTGCTATGCAGCTGTTTCATTTTTCGAATTTATTTATTTCTTCTTGCACATTTAAATAGGGGAAATAAACCTGAAGAGCAAAGTGTGTATTCAAATATGTATTTTTATTTAGATAAACAGAAGTAGATAAAGATACAGATCTTGTTATATACATGTAGATATACAGATATGTAGGCGCTAGATATATATACACATATATATATATATATACTTATATATATATATATATATATATATATATTCATATGGATTTAGTCCAGCTGTATTTGTATGCATGAGCTTCTCTGCGTGTCGCCTCGAGGGCGCATGCATGCGTGCATGCATGCATGCATTAATATGTACATTATTGATTGCACATATACAGTATATATAGAATGGCTTCCATGTATGCATGCATGCATGCATGCATGCATTCAGCTATAAAAGATGTAGAAACAAATTGACTATATGTGCGCAAATGCGAAAGTAGAGCTTGTTTTTTTCTCATTTTCTGCCGAGAAATATAAGTTTCTAAACAAATTGCATTTCTTGCATGCATGCATGCATGCAGCTATGAACTGCGCGGCGGAAAGTGCATGTATTTAGTCATAAGTGTGTCGTATTTATGCAGATTTGTCGAAAAGACAAATACAATATTTATTATAGACCCATATAAGAGATAAATATAATATTTATCATAAAGATATGCAGAAGATAAATACATATAAAAGATAATATAATACTTATTCTAAATATATATAAAGGATAAATATAGTATGTATTTTTAATATATATTAATGCAAAAGGGCACATTTCATGAAAATTTATTGTTTTTCAGTGCATGCGTTTGCATGCATGCAAACACAATAAGCCTTTTTAAAAGTATATCTACTTGTACATAAATGACGCATTTATATATTTGTATACTTACGTAGATGTATATATATATATATATTTATATATATACATATATATATATAAGAATATATACATAACTATTAATATTATATATATATATAATATTAATAGGTATATATATAGATGTCTATTTATTTATTTAAAATATATATATTTATATTCATTTGTAGTGTGGAGCTTTTACACACGAGTGATTCATTTGAGAAAAAAGTGTCTGTACACCATATATAAATATTTACGTAGAGAGGAAGACATAAAAGCAAATAAATAAATAAATAGATAGATAAAATAAATGAATGAATGGATAAAATAAACAAATATATATACATTGATTAGAAGTGGGCAAATATGTACAAAGACATCTATTGAGTGAGCTTGCATGCAAGCATGCATGCATGCATGCTTGCATGCAAAGCCTAGCGCTAAACATCTTTTTTGTTGGTCTATTTGGCATTTTATTTTCTAAAGTTTTTATGTTCAGTTCACTAACATTAAAGTTTATTTCTTTCTTTGTTTCTTTTCCCGCGTTGGGCTTGTTTATCTCCTTTTCTTTTATTTATTTTCTTCCTCACTCTTTGCCTTTTGCTGCTTCTAGGGGCCCCGAGCTTCCCTGTTGCTGCCGCTGCTGCTGCAGTGCTGCAGCAGCATGCATGAGGAGCAGCAGCACTTTGGGCCTGCGTGTCACAAATTGGCTTAAGCGGGCGCCGCTGCCGTTGCTGGCAGCTGCCGCTGCTGCTGCCACTGCTGCTGCTGTTGCTGCTGACGCTGCTGTGGCAGCGCCGCTGCAGCCGCGCAAATCACCTTTGGGAGTTCAAAAAATTGAAATTAATTTGAAGTGTACGTACACCGGAAATCGGGAACCAAGTGCGCAGCTGGCGAGGTGTACGTACACCCGAAATTGGCAAATTCGCGAGGCTTCCGTGAGGTGTACGTACAGCTGAACCAGCTAATCTGGAGTGTACGTACACTGGATTTATTAAAACCCCAAAAACTTCTTCCGGGCCGCTTTATCTTTCGCCTAACGACTCACTCCCCCGCCAGGGTTTAGGGTTTAGGGTTCCCCGGAGAATCTAATTAGACATGTCCCTATCCCTCTCTCTATTTCCTGCTGCTCTTTCTGCAGCAGCAGCAGCAGCAGCAGCAGCACTCTTTGCCTCTTCTGGCCTGTTCACTTCACCCGAAAAGTTTTCTTTGCCCCTGCGGGGCCCCTGGGGCCCCCAGGGGCCCCGCACTCCTTCGTACAGCTATTGAAGGGGCCCCTGGGAGGCCCCTGGAGCCCCAGACCCTTTCCTGCAGCTACAAAAGGGGCCCCCAGGGGCCCCTGGGGGACACCAGACCCTTTCCTGCAGCTACAGGAGGGGCCCCCGGGGGGCCCCTGCCTTTCAAAGCCCCGTTCTAATTGATCTTCGTAATTTGTTTAAAGAGGGGCCCCCCGCAGCCACTTGGTTGCATGCAGAGGGGCCCCCTCTGGGGCCCCCGGGGCCCCATCTAGTACCCTTGGGGCATGGGAGGAGGCATGGGGCCCCTCATGGGGGGCCCCCCTTGAGGGGCAAACCCTGTACCCTGCTGCACTGGGGGGGGCCCCCCAAAGGCCCCCGGGCGGGGCAGAGGAGGGGCTGGGGGCATCCCAAAGGGCTGGGGGGCCCCCGAGGCCATTGCTGCCATGGGGGCCCCCATGGGGCCCCCCATGGGCCCCCCCATGGTTGTTGCTGCTGCTGCAGGCCCTGGATGGGGCGGGGGGGCCCCCAGGCTGCCAGCAGCAGGCGGCCGCGGGACCATGCCGCCTGCTTCCTGCTGCTGCTGCTGCTGCTGCTGC